AGGAAGTCCATAGTCTTTGAGATGTAGAGAATATGGAGTCTGAAGCTCAGTTTATGTTTGAACAAGATTTCTAGTCTAGTTCAGTCTGAGATAATTGAAAATGGATATAGATCTTGATAGGGAAATTGATTTTGTAGTAGGTTGAAAAACAATGGCTTCAATTTTCCCACTAATTGGGAGAAATTGTATCTATGACTGGAAATCAGGTAAATAGCTTGAAAACCCAGGGGCGGTGGAGCTATACAGAGAACTAGTGTCAGGATATATGTTGAACCTGACCCTATGCCTACATACGACAAATAGAATCTTCCCAGATCTGCCAGGATGGTTTTAAAGGTCACACTGGGAGGAAATTCTGTCAAGTATGTGTTGGGGCTTAATAGTCAGTCACGTTTCCACATCTTGTTGCTTTTCCCAGAGCCAGTCAGCATCGGCAGATGCTGGCTCACCATCCAGAGCTAGCAGTGATGGGTAGACAATCTGATAATTGAATGTATATTTGTGGATGGCTTGGGCACCCTGCTGGGAACTCTGAAGTAGCAAATGGGTCCTCCCACAAAGGAATAAGCCCAGCAAATGCCCAGAGATAGCTTGCTTGCAACCGACGTAGGGGACACAGGTAGTTTTCTATTTTAACCCCACTGGAGCTACAGTCTTCAGTAGGCATTATCTGTAGCCATTAATTACCTGTGGCAGGGTTTCCTGCATTGCTATGAGCTTCGAACTGTAATCACAATTTATTGAAGTGAAATGCAAGTTATTTAGAGGGTGCTTCAAGGTGGAGTTGCCCTAGTGTAATTCCTCTGAAAGTGGCAACCCACACCTCTGGCAATGGGCCCCAATCCCCACATGCTTATTCTAAGTGAAGATTCAGCCCAGTGACATCACAGAAGAGGGGCCTGAAGGACAGATCCTTGTAGAATTTCATAGGAGGAGAAGCCATTGTTGAAGTTATCTGGATACAACCAGATAACTATGAGCAGAAACAAAAAAAAGAACAATACCACAGTTTTGGACAAAAGAAACAAGGCATTGGAGGTTGTACCAAAGGTTATAAAAAGCTTGAGGGTGACAAGGAGGGTCATTGTTATAGATGATACCATTTGTGAATTGTGTTGGAGCTGTGTTAGTGGTCTGCCAGGTGTGTAAACCTGATTAGTCAGTTTTGAACGGGAGTTGCAGGAGAAATGTGCACACATTTAGGAGGTGATAAGAACTTTGCAGCAACGACAGATGAACTGATGAATTAGAAAGATAGTAGGTTTATATTTGTTTTTTTTGAGCAAGGGTGATAATCCATATTTTGGAAGGATGGGGCTCATTAACTGAGGAGAAGAAACCATTCATAATGCCTGTTAGTATGGGGGTTGAAAAAAGATGTTGGATGTTCAGCAGGTTTGCAGGAAAATGGTCTTGGAAAATAGCAGGAGAGTCTAATAGATAAAATAAACTCAGGGAGGGCAGGAAGGGCTCAGGAGAGATACTGAAGAGAAGCTGAGTTGAGGGTATAGGCATAGGAATCAGCCTAATGTAAATTCAAAGCGGTCCAAAAGTCCTAGAGGTGAGTGTGGGAGGGGAAGGGAGAGAGATTAAAGATGACTGGTAGTGCAGCAAAGTAGCCAGGACCTATTTTCATCTTCCAGGAATATGTTAGATTAGTGTTTGGTTTTGGTAGTGCATATGAGGATTGAGGTAGTCCAGCAGATAGGTGATGGACAGGTAACCCAGTTGTTTCCTTCTTCACCCATTGGATTTGAGGGATCAACGATGGGATCGTTACCGAGGCATTGACAAGGATGGAAGCAAGTACAAATTTTGCACTGAATGTGGAAGTGGAGGTTAAAAAAAAATCGATGAGCAGATTGATGGCTAAAATGAAGTACTGGGGCAATGGAAGTCCAAAGACTGGGCAGCTGAGATGTTTGATTTGATTAATTATTGTCAGATGCATCTAGGTAAAGTGAAAAGTTTTCTTTTGCGTGCAGTACAGGAAGATCATATCATACAAAAATCATGGGTCATAGAACAGAGTGAGGAATGCAAAGTTACAGCTGCAAAGCTGTATTAAATTTGAAATTTGACAGGTCCATTCAGAAGTCTAATAACAGCGGGGAAGAAGCTGTTCTTGAACCTGTTGGTACGTGTGTTCAAGCTTCTGTATCTTCTGCCTTACGGAAAAAGTTGGAAGAGATTATAACTGGGGTGGGAGGGGTCTTTGATGATGTTGGCTGCCTTTCTGAGGCAGCGAGAAGTGAAGATGGAATCAATGGATGGAAGGTTGGCTTGCATGATGAACTAGGTTGTGTTCACAGTTCTGTAGTTTCTTATGCTCCTGGGCAAAGCAGTTGCTGTACCAGACGGTGATGCATCCAGATAGAATGCTTTCAATAGTGCATCTATAACAGTTGGTGAGAGTCCTTTAAATTTGGGTTGGATGGAGATAAGGTGATATGGGTGAAGAAAATACAGGAAACTGTTGCAACTGGATTTTTCTGTATTTCACCTCAGTATTTACTGTGAGAAAGACATGGAAGCTAGCAAACTCGGGGAAATAAATATTGATGTCTTGAAATCAGTCCACACTGCAGAAGATAAGGTGCTGGAGGTCTTAGAAAGCATAAAGGTAGATAAATCTCCCAGACTTGATCAAGTATATCATAGGATATTGTGGGAAGCTAGGGAAGAACTTGCAGGGCCCCTAGCAGAGATGTTTGAATCTCCTACAGCCATGGGTGAGGTGCCTGAAGACTGGAAGGTAATGAATCCTGTGTCTTTATTTAAGAAAGGCTGCAAGGTAAAGCCAGGGAACTATAGGCCAGCGAGTCTGACATTAGCAGTGGGTAAGTTGTTGGAGGAGATTCTGAGAAACAGGTTTTATACGCACTTGGAGAGGCATGGACTGATTAGGGATAGTCAGCATGGCTTTGTGCATGGGGAATCATGTTTCACAAACTTGACTAAATTTTTTGAGTATGTGACCAAGAAGATGGATGAAGGCAGAGCGGTAGACGTTGTCTATGTGGACTTCAGTAATAAGGCCTTTGACAAGGTTTTGTATGGTCAGTAACATTAGATCACATGGGATTCAGGGCAAACTTGCCAATTGGATACAAAACTGTCTTGATGGCAAGACACAGAGAGTGATGGTATACGGTTAATTTTCGACCGGAGGTCTGTGACTAGCGGTGTTCCGCAGGGATCAGTGCTGGGTCCATTGTTGTTTGTCATTTATATAAATGATTTGGATGAGAATACAGGAAGCATGGTTAGAAAGTTTGTAGATGACACCAAAATTGGTGGTATAGTTGACAATGAGGAAAGTTATCTTAGATTACAAAGAGATCGTGGTCAATTGGGCCAATGGGCTGAGGTGTGGCAGATGGAGTTTAATTTAGGTAAATACGAGGTGTTGCATTTTGGTAAGACAAAGACAGAACTTACACAGGTAATGGTAGAGCCCTGGGGAGTGCTGTAGAACAAAGAGACCTAGGGGCTCAGGTATTTAACACACAGGAAGTTGCATCACAGTAAACAGGAGGGTAAAGAAAGCATTTGACATGCTTGCCTTCATTGCTCAGGCCATTGAGTATAGGGGGTGGGACATCATGTTGCAGTTGTACAGGACATTGATAAGGTCACTTTTTGAGTACTGCATACAGTTCTGGTTGTCCTGTTATAGGAAGAATATTATTAAATTGGAGAGGATGAAGAAATGATTTAAAAGGATGTTGCCAGGACTGAATGGTTTGAGTTATAACGAGAGGGTGGATAGGCTGGGATTTCTTTTCCCTGGAGCATAGGAGGTTAAGGGGTAACTTATAGACTTTTATAAAAATCGAGTGGGGCATAGATAAGATGAATATCAAAAGCATTTTTGCTAGGGTAGGGGAGATGAAAACTAGAGGGCATAATTTTAAGATGAGAGGAGAAAGATTTAAAAGAGACTTGAGGGCAACCTTTTCCACATAGAGGGTAGTTCGTATGTGGAATGCACTGCCAGGGAAAGTGGTAGATGCAGGTACAGTTACAACAATTAAACGACAGGTACATGAATAGGAAAGGTATGGAGGGAAATGGGCCAAATGCAGGCAAATGGGACTAGTTTAGTTTGGGAAACTTGGTCGGCATGATGAGTTGGACTGAAAGGTCTGTTTTCGTTCCGCATGACTCTATGACTCTATTTAGTCAAATATAGTCTTCAGGGATCCAGGCCACACTCCTTGGTTTGAATGGCCATGGCTTTTGCAGTTGGAATCATGCAGTAATGAGTCCCTGTCAGACTTAGGAGAGAGGAACATCCAATGCATTGTATTGGGCTGTTGGACCCACTAGCAAGCACTACTATAACTGAAATGTTGGATCTTGGTCAATGGAAGCTTGAAGTCTGTGTATATAACTTTAGGAATAAAACTTGGTTCCAAGAAAATTATCACATTTACTTCACCCAAAAAACTGTATAACCGAAGACTGATCATGGCTTCATTATAATCCCGAATCCTTGCCTTGAAATAACAAGACAGTGAGCCTAAACAGTGAGTTACATCTCCAAATTTGGTGGGTTGGGTCGTGAACACAGCCTGTTTTATATCCTTAGAACAGGTATGTCCCAGAGGACTTCCTGTTAGGAATCAAAAACAGAAGCAAAGCTGTCTGAAAAATCTGAAAGCTTCACACTGGCCTTCCAGCCTTCTGGCTGCTGCTACAGCAAAGCATGCAAAACAATGGTCAAAATACATATCTTAATTAAACCTTTATGAGAATTATGAGACAGTAATCAATTGTAAAACTTTACTTAAAATGGATGCTATATTGCTGGTAGGAAGTTCAGATTTAAATCATAAACATTTCAGCTTTTTATTTTACACAAAATCAATTTTATTTGGAAGTGATGACCAAATTAATATAAATATCATTAACATAATTAAGTCAGTTTAAGATGTTAGTTTTATTTTAAAATCTACATAAAAAAGAAGTCAACTAAAATGTATGTTTGTTATTACCTGAACCTCTGAGCCTGATGATGCAGTGGCCCAGGATAACGTCTGCTAGGTGACTGATACAACTGTGAGAGTAGTGCTTGGTTTGTTTTCTGGCTGGGATTATTGGCAAATTTCACAGTTATTGGTTCTGTAGCACTGGAAGGTTTCTGCCCATTGAGTCCCTTGATTGCTTCCTCTGCTTCTATTCGTTTATCAAAACGAATGAATCCAACTCCTCTAGAAACACCTGAAAGACATTTTAGATGAACAGTTTTTTGTGCATATTGATCATACTGCAGATGTTAAAAAAAAAGAACCATTTCATTTTGGGTTCTTCAGATCAAAAATCATAAACTAACAGCAACAATTGCTCTCTAAATCATCATTGGAGCTTAGTAGATGCTGCATTTGCCTCTAAGTACCCATTTACCTGAGTGGTAACATTAAAAGGGGCAAAACAAGTAAAATACAGTCTCATTGTTAAAATACATACAGTGAAGGTCAGTTGGACTCTGCCCTGATATGACAGCTGCAGACGTTAAATGGGAAAACAAAAACAAAATATTGTAGGGATACTGGAGATCTGAAATGAAAACAGAATTTATTGGAGAAACTCAGCAGGTCTGTTAGCATCTGTGGAGAGAGAAACAGAGTTAACGTTTTGAGTCCAATATGGTTCTTCTTTTGGACTCACAACGTTAAGTGGGACTGTGACTAGGTAAAGTGAGTAAGTCTGTGTTAAGGGGAGGTGATGGTCTACTAGTATTATTATCGCTACACTATTAATCCAGATACCCAGGTAATATTCTGCAAGCCTGGGTTCGAATCCCGTCATGGTGGAACTTGAATTCGATAAAAGTCTAATGATTACCATGAAACAACTGTCAGGGGAAAAACCCCCAACTACCTCTCTACTATCCTTTAGGGAAGGAAACTACCAGCCTTACCTGGTCTGGCCTACATGTGACTCCAGACCCACAGAAATGTGGTTGACTCTCAACTGCCCTCTGGGCAATTAGGGATGAGCAATGAATGAATGATGCCCTCATCCTGTGAATGAGTTTAAAAAGAACACTTGAACTGGTGCTGGTGAGTGAATGATTCCCTTTAAATCCTTACCAAGATATATGTCATACCTCTTCATCACTGAGTTTCTGTCTTGTTTATTAGCTCAATATTCAAAAGACTCACTTATCTCAAAGGGCCATGGGTGAAAAATTCCAAAGTACAAGCTCAGGAAGTAACATAAGCTGTATTACCAACTTTGATGTAAGTAAAATAAACATAAAAGTTGAATTTTTGCATCCCAGTGGTGGTAGATTTGGAGGCAGGCAACCAATTAAGGGGGGATTATGTGACCCAACTGGCATTTTTCCTGCTGTGTGTGGAGGCCACCAACTCAGAGCTGGAAGTTCCATGCACCAATGCCAGGGCTAAATTGCCTGTAGTGTTCAGGGATGTGTAGATTAGGTGGGTTACAGGGAAAAGATAGGGGGAATGGGTGTGGGTGGGATGAAACAAAAGCAGAAAGTGCTGGAGAAACTCAGCAGGTCTGGCAGCATTTGTTAGCCAGAAACAGAATTAATGTTTTAAGTCCACTTGAGCCACTGGTTGAGTCACGTTAGCTCTGTTTCTCTCTTCAAAGATGCTGCCAGGTTTGCTGAGTTTCTCAAGCACTTTCTGCTTTTGTTTCAGATTTCCAGCATCTGCTGTACTTTGTTTTGTGCCAGATATAATGCAACTGAAATTCCCTTCAGACATCCCCAAGCCACCAACAACACTGACTGGTCTAGCTACAAAGTTTGGCATGCATCCTTTGCAAATCATTGCACAGTTGGGAAGGTGATGGCCTAGTGGTATTATCGCTTGACGATTAATCCAGAAACTCAGCCAATGTCCCAGGGAACTGGGTTTGAATCCCCCCAAGGCAGATGGTGGAATTTGAATTAAATAAAAAGAATCTGGAATTAAGAATCTACTGATGATCACGAAATTGTTGCTGATTGTGGGAAAAACCCATCTCATTCTCTAAAATCCTTCAGGGAAGGAAATCTGCCATCCTCATCTGATCTGGCCTACATGTGACTCCAGACCCACAGCAATGTGGTTGACTCTCAACTGCGCTCTGAATTGGCCTAGCAAGCCACTCAGTTGTACTAATCGCTACAAAGTCTCAAAAGAAATGAAACCGGATAGAACACCTGGCATCGACCTAGGCACTGGATAAGACAACAGCAGAAACAGTCCTGTCAACCTTGCAAAGTCCTCCTCATTAACTTCTGGGTGTTAGTGTCAAAACTGGGGGAGCTGTCTCACAGATTAGTCAAGCAACAGCCTGACATAGTCACACTCATGGAATCATATCTTACAATGTCCCAGACATCATCATCACTATCTCTGGATATGTCCTGTGAGGACTTCAGACTCCATGAGGTCTTGTTGCTTCAGGTTAAACATGGGCAAGGAAACCTCCTGCTGACTATCACATACTATCCTCCCTCAGCTAATGAATCAGCACTCCTCCATGTTGAACAACACTGAGGATGGCAAGGGCACAAATTGAACTCTAGGTGGGGGATTTCAATGTCCACCACCAAGAGTGGTTTGGTAGCAGTATTCTTTATCGAGCTGGTCAGGTCCTAAAGCTGCTAGGCTGGATCTGCAGCAGGTGGTGAGGCAACAACAAGAGGGAAAAACATACTTGACCTCATCCTTACCAATCTGCCAGCTGCTGATGCATCTGTCCATAACAATATGGGTAAGAGCGATCACTGTACGATCCTTGTGGAGATGAAGTCCCACCTTCATATTGAGCATGACCTCCATTGTATTGTAGCACTATCACCATGCTAAATAGGACAGACTTCAAACAGACCTAGCAAGTCAAGACTGAGCATCCATGAGGTGCTGTGGGCCATCAACAGCAGCAGAATTGTACTCCAGAACAATCTGTAACCTCATGGACTGATAGATTCCCCACTCAAGAATTACCAGCAAGCCAGGCATCAACCCTGGTTTAATAGAGAGTCCAGGAGGGCATGTCAGGGGCAGCACCAGGCATATCTGAAGATGAAATGTCAACCTGGTGAAGCCACCAAACAGGACTACTTTTGCACCAAACAGCATAAGCAGCAAGTGACAGACAGAGCTAAGTGATCCCACGGCCAACGGATCAGATCTAAGCTCTGCAGTCCTGCCACATCTAGTTGTGAATGGTGGTGGACAATTAAACAACTCCCCCATCCTCAATAAAAACCAAAAGAACTGTGGATGCTGTAAATCAGGAACAAAAGCAGAAGTTGCTGGAAAAGCTTAGCAGATCTAGCAGCGTCTGTGAAGAAAAAATCAGAGTTAACATTTCAGGTCAGTTCTGAGGAAGGGTCACCAGACCCGAAACGTTAACTCTGATTTTTTCTTTACAGATGCTGCCAGACCTGCTGAGTTTTTCCAGCAACTTCTGTTTTTGTCCCCTTAGAAAGATGGTTGTGGTTGTTGGAGATCAGTTATCTCAGGTCCAGGACATCTCTGCAGGAGTTCCTCAGGGTAGTGTCCTAGGCCAAACCATCTTCAGCTGCTTCATCAATGATCTTCCCTCCAACATAAGGTCAGAAGGGAGGATGTACACCAATGATTGCACAGTGTTCAGCACCATTTGTGACTCCTCAGATACTGAAGCAGTCCATGTTCAAATGCAACAAGATCTGGCCAATATCCAGGCTTGGGCTGACAAGTGTTAAGTAACATCGGCACCACGCAAATGCCAGGCTATGACCATCACTAATAAGAGACAATCTAACCCTTGACATTCAAGGGTCTTACTACCACTGAATCCTGCACTATTAACATCTTAGGGGTTATCATTGACTAGAAACTCAACTGGATTCACCACATAAACACAGTTGCTGCAAGAGCAGATCAGAGGCTAGGAATACTGCAGCAAGTAACACAGCTCCTGACTCTCCAAAGCCTGTCCATTATCTACAAGGCACAAATCAGGACTGTGATGGAATATTCACCACTTGCCTAGATGAGTGCAGCCCCAATAAAACTCAAGAAGTTTGACATCATCCAGGACAAAGCAGCCTGCTTGATTGGTACAACATCCATAGGTATCCACTCCCTCCACCACCGACGCTGTGTAGCAGCAAGTGTGTACTACTTACAAGATGCACTGCAGAAATTCACCAAAGATCCTCAGACACCACCTTCCAAACTCACAAACACTTCTATCTAGAAAGACAAGGGCATCAGACATATGGGAACACCACCACCTTCAAGTTCCCCTGCAAGCCACTCACCATCCTTACTTGGAAACATTTCAGCGTTTCTTCACTGTTCCTGGCTCAAAATCCTGGAATTCCCTCCTTGATGGTATTGTGGGTCAATCCACAGCAGGTGGGCTGCAGCGGTTCAAGAAGGCAGCTCACCACCAGCTTCTCAAGGGCAACTAGGGATCGGCAATACATGCTGGTCAGCTAGCAACGCCCACATCCCATAAATGAATAAAGAAAATTCCTGCATGAATTCCAAGAACTGCCTCATGGCCCTCCATGATGTTGGGCACTCTCTCACTGGAAGGGCTCATGCGCTCAAAACCTGAACCATGGTGGCACTAATTAAGTGATCAGACTCCTTAATTTTTTTGTCCATGATCCCACATTGCCCAAGGGAATTCTGACACATGACAGCACATCTGCTGTCTAGGTACAGCCTTCTTTCTAATGACTGCTGAGACCCTGCACTGGTGACCAATGTGATCAAGGATGTGACTGTCCTCCATCATCCAAGGGTCCCTCCCATAACTGCAAATGCTGTGGCACGTCCTCTTGTGATCAGCATCATGCTCCTTAGCACTGCCACCCTATCTGCACATAAAGACCAAAAGGGGATTGTATCTGCACTGAAGGATCATGTGATTACAAAGGTATGACAGTGCTTCTTTGGTGCTTCACTGCTGTGGCTCTTAACCTAGTGACGGTTAGGGTAATATTTACCAGGATGTTGCCAGATTTGAAAGGTTTACGTTAGAAAGAAAGGCTGGATAGGCTGGGACTTTTATTACTGCAGCGTAGGAAGTAGAGAGGTGAAAATAGTGAAAAGTATAGGTGGAGTTAATAATAGTTGTCTTCTCCACAGGATGGGGGATTTCAAGACTAGGGGCCACATTTTTAAGATGACAGGAGAAAGATTTAAAAAAGACAGGAGAGATATTTTTTTTTACACAAGGGTGGCTCACATGTGGAATGA